CTCGCTTAATATGCATTTTTTCCTAATTTTGGCAACGTACGTAATTAGAGGAACTCTTCAGCTTTCAAACAAGCTAAAGTAAACCAAAATCGGTCCATTAGTACGGAAACGCCAATTGTTTTAGTCAAACTTGCTTTACTGAGAAGTTTGGAAATGGCGTTTAGCGCCTTTTCGCATAAATACGTCCAATTATTGCGTCATTAGGTACTCCAAAGAAAGTCCGTGAACAGTGCCACATTTTACATCAGTTATTTCTTGAAAACAATGTGCATATATGATAGGGATATTGATAGGTGGTCTGAAAGGTGGTAGGATTAATGAAAAATCAACTAACCACGAGAGCATACCTTGTCCCGCCAAAGTATGCCAGAGAGACAGAAAATCTCGAGATTCAGCCAAACCGAAGGGTTGGCTCGCATTCGTCAAACCGCGGGTCGAACTTTAAAAGTTTACATTGACGTGCATTTTACGGAACTAACTGAGTCGAAAAGTTGAGTTTCAAATATTATCAAACATTTCTTAATTCTAACTCACCGTGCTCCAGTAAAAAAACAATCCACGATTTAGCCTATTCTGAAAAGTTGCATCCACTTAAGGCTAGACTCGTTTTACATATTCTATTCTGTTCCTACGGTATACTCATACATAAAAAAAAAAAAAAAAAAAAAAAAAATTAAACTTGTATTACCTTCCCTCAAAACTATGAGACTATACATTCCGGCAAAAAATAAAAGTACGTGGCAGGATGTTAGAATAGTGTTAAGTGGACAATACTCCGCCACAGCGGTCTGCCTTCTCCGGCAAGAGCATAATATCGTCACCTTCTGGCCAGAGTATCACAAGCGCCAAGCAACGTTTCAAAATTTCCTCCGTCATTTTATTTTTTTACAGAGATATTGTCATGAGTCAAGCGCCCCGGCGACCACCTCCCCGTTGCGCCCCGGCTTCTTCATTGCCGCTGACGTCACTGGCGCTTTATACTCATTCACTCGCGACGGCCAGCGAACTAACGAGCATACCCCATTTTTCTCACCTCCACATAGGTCTGTTTGGTAGAAATACGTCCAATGGACCACTAGACAAGGTACGAATTTCAGCATTCTCATGCATGTTTCTTCACCAAAATTTCACGTGAAACTCGATGCACACAACGAATATTACCGAAATCAACTCCTTCCGAAGATATTTAATGATTCTTGATGCGTGAATTCAAACCACCCGCTCATGAAAACTCAATACTCTACGTGATTCACATCGCGCGCTAAACGTTATCACGAATGTCTCTGCAATAAAAAAATCTGGCAACCTCAATTTTGACGCTTTGGCTCAGCTATAGCAAATTACTTATAGTTTGAACAACACATGGTGGGAAATGAACATTGCTCTATTGAGAGGCTTGCAGAAACCGTTGTAGTGCGCGATTTGACTCACGTAGAGCCTTGAGTTTCTTGTGAGCGGGCAGTTCAAATTCCTCATAACCAATGTGAAATAAAAACGTTAATATCTTTGTTAGGAGTTGGTTTGAGTAATTTTCGTTGTGCGAATCGTGCTTTACGTGAAATTCTGGTTAAGAAACATGTATCAGATTGCTTAAATTCGTACCTTGTCTAGTGGTCCATTCACGAGGCAAAACATGATTGTGTAGAAACCTATCAAGAGAGTCCAGCGCGATCGTTCCTTGGTCGGCTGTCACTGGTATCATGCGATACTGGAGATTAACGGTATGATAATAAAGGCGAGGTAATAATTGTTGACTTAAAGCTGTTAATACTGTTGCCAATGGCAATAAGCCCTTTTGTACCTCACTGAGAAATTGACTTCCTATGAATACTTTATTCATACATAACTGAAGCAACAGCTGCGTGACCGCGATCGTATGACATCATAGCACAACATATCATAAGCGTGAAATAGAATTTCCCTCCAAACCCAATCATCCATGTACCTACCATAATTTATCGGTCTCCCTTACAGTTTAGGGTGACACATATCGTTTCCCTAGATAATTACAGCCGGTAACGTTCAGTGTAGTCCGTACCAATCACCAGGGGCGGACTGGCCATGGGGGCGGGGAGGCGATCGCCCCCTAACAATTTGCCGCGGAGATCCCGAAGGGGCCCCCGCGGCGAATTTTTTTCGAGTCATCGTTTTTTCCCCGGAATGTTGTAATTTTCTTATCCTTTTCAATCACTAAAAGGCCCCGAATTCCTTGAAAATTTGTCTCTAAGTGACATGGAAGGTCGCCAAAAGCATTTGTGATGAAGGGACCCCCGATGAATCCTGAGAATGGGTTATTTTGAAGTTCAAGTGCTCTAGAATCCAACTCCAATAATGCCTACGTGTTTAAAAAGTGTGAAATTTTCAAAATTTACCAGGGGAGGGCCCCCGAACCTTCTTAGAGGGGCCCCCGAACGACAAGAGGGGCCCTTACATTTAGGTCTCCTCCTAACTTTTCGACTACCAGTCCGCCCCTGCCAATCACTATGAATAACGCAAATTTTTGCCGGAGACGTTTGAGCAAATTGCACTACTTCACACTACCGTTACACCAGGAAGACATGATTAGAAATCCTCAATTTGCCCGTAATGATGAACACGTAGGTACATAAATATTCAAATACTTATTACATCAAAACATTGAAGTAAGGGTGAAATGAGAAATTGCAAATGAAATTCGATCTCGATGAAATCAGTTAAGGCATTTGACGGTGAAGCTTATTATTAGCCTTTTCAATATTTTTTTACTAGCAAAATGTGCTGTCAGAGACCTAATTTTAGACTGGTAAAAACAAATTCATAAATGGTGCCGGCCTGGCTAGTAAAAACTGGTGGTGTCTTCCTCACGTCTTTGACGATGCAATGGTGTAATTGGACGTATTTCTGTCAAATGGAAGTATGTGCATGAAGACATGAACCCCGAGGCCCATAAGAATACATGTATAACAGGGCTCACGTCATATTGCACAAAGTTCCGTTTGACAGAAATATGTCCAATTGACGACTGAAGTCGAAAAATGTGTACCTCTTTTGCAACATCTCAAAACATCCGATTGTGTTTTATTTTTTTTTACGTACAGCGTGAAACAAACGTAAGCAACACCAATTGCAAGTAGAGCAAGGGAATGAGCGCACATGGATGACGGCGCAGAGATACAACTATTCGTACTTCATGGATGTCCGTGTTGCGTCTGCAAAATTGAAGGCACGATGGCGCGATGCGTGAACTTGCAATGCTACCGATAATGAGCTGTCACACGGATTCGATAGAGCAAAATTAAAAAACAAGGCCAGAATACGTCTCTCTTATCTTCTGCTGCGATCGTACTCGATTTCTTTTCTCTTTCAATTTGTTGCGTGATTCTTTCTTTAGGATGAGTTATCTAAGACTCGTGGTGTGTGCCGGCAACATTCCTTTCCCGGAGAAATTAATCGAGTTAATTTGACCCGGATGCGGATGTTTTGGGGTAGTTGTAAAATAATACCCTGATACTCAATTTCTTTCTTTTTTCCAATTTGAAGTCTGATTTTTTTACGATGTATTCGTAGACCTGCAGCTTGTATATACCGCCCTCATACAACCCGCAGACCACGTATTTACAGCAGGTTTCCAGACGGATTTTTTGCATTCCTGAAAAATCGGGAAAATCGGGATTTCGGAGGTACGTGTTTGCGGCGTTTGCCGTTCATGGATCGATTTACCCTCAATGTGCTGTTTATAGGGTGTCCTGTGTATATTTGTACTGAGACGAAAATTAAGTGAATTTGAATTTGAATCAAAGCATGAAAAGAGACTATACATATTTGTCAAAATCGTGTCAAACCATGGACCAGGATTACTTGAGCCTTGCTACCCGTTAACCGCCGTGCTTTCCAGGATTCTCTCTAAAAAGAAATTGGACGTATTTCTACCAAACGGAACTATGTGCATTAAGACATGAGCCCGCTGAGACCCATAAGAATACATGCGTAACAGGGCTCATGCCAAAATGCACATAGATCCGTTTGACAGAAATACGTCCAATTAAGTGGTTTTGCCGTCACGAATCCGCACTATCATCGCGATAATTTTACGACCTCGATCCTGTATTTTTGCGAGTTTGGGTATGCGCCGGGTGTCCTTTTGACGAGTCGATGAATCAATCATCAATTGATCATCAATCAATGAGCGAGAGAGATAGACGACCAAACAGCGTATGGGCAAGATAAGTTGAGGCTTGCTAACCGCCATGTTTTTAGGGGGTGGGGGGGTGTCCATCCTAATATAATCCTCCAGGATTTTGGCATTAACACAACAAAAAAGGACCTTTTCATAAAACGTGTGATCGTTCAGAAAACTGGTACATCTGCACCTGAAAAATGCATATCGACGGTGAAACTCTGAACCCACGTCAAAGGCGGATCCAGCAATTTGGCAACACCGGATTTCCTCCATTTAAACCTACGCTGAATAATCGATTCTCGTCGGAGCACATGGCCTCTCCAAGAATCGATATATTTCCTTAGGTTCAAATGGAGGAAATCCGGTGTTGCCAAGTTTCTAGATCCGCTAATGGACCACGTATCTCTTTTGCAGTGTTTTGAAATCTCCGCTCCTATCATATTCTTTTGAGGGAGAACAAATCAACCTCTTTCCATGGAATCTTAAAAGAATTTTCCTTGCACAGAGAAGAAAAATCAAGCAAGCTTTAACTAATTAATGGTGAGTAGTTTTTTATTTCAAGAGTAAAGTATGACAGGAAGTTTGTAATGTCGTAAGCCGAGATACGTGGTTTGAGAATTCCACCTTTGATGTGCGTATTTTTTCAGGGGCTGTATTCTCGTGGCCATATGCTTAAAAACTTACCGGGAATGAATTGTTCCAGAATTAAAGATTGGTATCTTTGTCGTATTTGGAGAGCGCTGCTTTCAAAACAAGGTAAAAACTGTGCAACAAATTCGTGTACTAGAACAAAACCAAATCACATTAAATAATAATTGTGTAATTAATTGCTATGTATAAATCGTCTATTAGTCTAAATTTGACAAATCAGATAACAGGATATGAGTGACATTTTCTGACCTAGAAATTCAGAGAAAATAGAATTGGCACGATTGAGGTATGGAGGCTGCGTTGCTTAGTATTTCGCCTTCAATTTTCAATGTGCACCAGATAACTCTATCTGTGAAGCTGTAACTAGTTATTTATTTGAGCATTCACGTATTGTGTTGATGTGTGGTTTGCAAATCTTGCCTCGCATTATAGGTCCAACTTCACCGGAAAATTTTGACGATCACATTTGAAGTATTGAAATTCAACCTTTAATAAATGTTAATTACATAAACCATTAATTCACCTGAATCAAATTCTCTGACGTCAACACCAAACAGTTGTATAAACGGAACTTCACCGGTTTGTTTGATCTCATTATCATGAATGAGAATAGGGGAGCAAGTTCAAGTTTCCGCGCAACCCAGTGTTCATTGAGGTAAATTTTTTCGGATATATCATCAGCCTACACGATTCAAAATTAGAGAAAAAATATTTTAATTTAGGGAAACACATCAAAAAGTAAGTGTGATCCACAAATGAGAAGGGCTTTAAAAAAGTAAAAAGCAGATAGCAATTCTAAGACGCCGGGAGTTTATCTAGATGCCGCGGGCTCAACAAAGTTTAACCTCCTATCGATAGCCACAAAAGTCATGGAAGTCGGCCCAGTAACATGGTGGAACGAACTGTGCCGAGCGATGAAGTTTAGGGGGTCGAAAAGCTCCTAGTGATGATGCAAAGATGAAAATTATCATTAAAAGATATTCTTACCATAATGGAAGTGGAGCCCGGTAGAATGAAACAAGCGGCGATAAATCCATAGGTGAGCAGAACACCAAACATCATATCAGTGTTTTGAACATTGAAATCCTGGACATTTTGGAGTTATTGAAACACAATACAAAGTCATACTTAGCTATTAATACAATATGCTTGGCAACTTAGGTTAAAATTCAAATGTTGACGGGAACGTGTCTCTTGTATTCTTTGGAATATTCGCAAGTTTTCAATTCCGTTTTGCACTATTAACTAAAGAGTGCACCTAAATTTAAATCAACATGCAGCTATTATGTAGGTTTAACTCAACACTTCAGCATTTTAAATAGCTATTTCTCAAAACTACGATTATTGAATCGGAAAGAAACTATACAAAAATGAATAAAAGAGGGGAAAAACCAAGAAGCACGCAATCGTTTATTGTAACCCATTTGTACATCTAGCTTTTAGAGTCTAATACGTCCCATTTTGAGCGTTTTGCTGCGCGTACACCACGCTGTAGCGCAGTAGAAGCACAAAATATAAAAGAAAAAATTAAAGTGCTTTGGTAATCATTAGGTTTGACACCGAACTACCTAAATATTTACAAAATACACATTATATTTTCCTTCAATGCATATTTTTTTCATCAATTTAAATGCCAATAATCCATACAGAGTGTGCAAAAATTTCAAAATCATGAGTAGAAAAACGCTGACTCCACGAGTTAAATATTAGATCCATACATAGAGCGGAGCGGCACGCGCACTGGCGCCTACAAACCTAACAGGGATACTTCACGCGTCGCGCAATGCGTGATATGTATCCCTGTTAGGTTTGTAGGCGCCAATGCGCGTGACACGCTGGTCGCCCTCGCCCGCCGCCGCGCTTCAAGCAACTATTTGGCAACAGAGGTGTTTCACAGTAACATACGAAATTGAAGGTGCTCCAACGTATCAAAAATGACAGGCATCCATTAAGAGTACGGATATAATAGCTGACAATATAATGCGGGGACAATTATTCAAATCGAAGACAATTTTGAAATGTTCAATTCTTGCCTTAGTACTATTACATGTTTCAGGGAGGAAATGTGTCTGTTTTCCGATACGTGGATCGCAGAATGATATTAGACATCATAAGGCTTCATTAAAAATAGCCTTGTTCTCCATTGAACAATATCTGAGGGTTGATTATTGAAATTGATAGACATTGCTATAGACAAATAAGACTGAGGGAAAATGGAGTGATGTTATTGTTTAATACGAGTGGTTCTTACGGACTGAAGAGAAATTGATGAATTACTCATGGGATCTCTTATCGTCGCCCCTCTGACGTAAGGGCGTATCTCGATTCTTACGTGAGCCCTGTTTCACATATAAATTCATGCTTTCTGGGGCTCATGCGGAAATCTAGATACGCCCTTACGTCAGAAGAACGACGTTATGTGTGTTGCCGTTAGTTGGTCTTTGTATTGCTTCACCTTATTCTTCATCCATTGCAACCACCCGCATCCAGCAATAGAATCGTTCCATTTTCTCTTTATCCTTTCTGTCTATCGCTTTGTCTATGAATTTCAAAAATCAGTCTGCTGTTCATTGATACGATACAGAAATTCAGCGACTTTTCTCACATGAAAGAGGAATTTATTTAAACTTACTTTAATTTGTCCACGGTATTAAAACATATTTGATGAAGTAAGATTGTAATATGTGGTGCAATTCTTTTTAGGATAATAAGTCGGAAGTACATGTGATTTAAATACAAGCAGAGTCCATACTTACCTCAGCAATTGCCAATCCGCATAAAACATTGTAAGCAATAGTAGTAGTTATACACCATGCAAGGATAGGCTCAATGGCGCTCTTCATTCTTGCAGATAATCTAAAAAATTATGACGGAGAAGCGAGCAGTTAATTCAAACGTGATTAATTCTAAACACTTCGATCAAAAACACAGGAAAAAGCGGAAACAAGGCTAAAATACAAAATATAAAGGCAGGACGTTTCGGTACCTTACGGCACCATTATCAACTGCTAAAAAAGAATTAAAAATAAAAAAGAAATTAAAATAAAAACCAGCAAACGGCGTTACATGGTGAAATTGGTGAAATTAGTAAATTGGTGATTAGTGAAATTGTAACGCCGTTTGCTGGTTTTTATTTTAATTTCTTTTTTATTTTTAATTCTTTTTTAGCAGTTGATAATGGTGCCGTAAGGTACCGAAACGTCCTGCCTTTGTATTTTGTATTTTAGCCTTGTTTCCGCTTTTTCCTGTGTTTTCGATTGTCGTTTACGTTTCGGGCTGCTTTTACATTCTCTTTGTTTTCAACTCTGAACACTTCTCGATACATGTCTTTATCAATCCGAAAATCTAAACATGGAAAGTCTCATGAAATCGAGATAAATCTATTCAAGGGACTGAGAAAATAAGCTCCGAAATTCATGTTGCCTCCTTAAAATTGTTCGTACAAAAAGAGGGGTACATTAAAAGTATTTCTAGATTCATATCATAAAAATTGAAACCTATCGCTCGAAGTAAAAACAACAGTTTACATGTATTAAATCGCACGCTAAACGTTATCGTGACTGTTGCTAAAGTATTAAAATATGACAACCTCGAGCTCGGTCCTTCGGCTCAGCTAATAGCATTCACTTTGAAAAACACAGGGTAGGGATGGAACACAGCTCGATTCAGGCGCCTGCCTAAACCGCTCTAGTTTGAATTATTATTAATCGTTATAGACTAAAAAATTTGTAGCGCGGTATATTTTATTTTGCATTTAAACTTAATTTATGTTTTAGTTTCTGTTGAACATCTTTTCGAGAATCCCCCATAAATAGTCCATAAAATAAAACTCTCAATTGGTAACAATATTAATTAAAGAGACAAAATGTTTTCCAACGAGTATGATACGGTTGTTTTCAATTCACCTTCAGTTGCGCCGGCAGCAATTGTTGTTACGGATATGTTGTGCGTGCTGATTTTAACTCATTGCATACTTGACTCTCTGAAGGCGTCTGGTGTGCGAAAGTAGAGCACTCTGTTGGAGAACAACAGAAATGAGATTTAATGAATCGCTTAATCCCTACTCCGTTCGTTCTCCGACAGATTGAGCTACTTGCGCATATAAAACGCCTTCAGAGAGTCGAGTATGTAATTAGTTAAAACCTGCACGCACAACATACTCGTAACAACAATTGCTGCAGACGCAGCTGAAGGCGAATTGCTTTTGCACATAAAACGCCTTCAGGGAATTGAGTTTGTAATGAGCGAAAATCAGCACGTACAACATATTCATAACAACAATTGCTGCACAAGCAGCAGAATGCGAATTGTTCAGTTAGAAAAAAAAGAGTATGATTGGTAGTCTGCGAGAAACGGAAGGGTATGTATTCGATCGACATGAATCGAAACGAAAAATATAACCGTGAACCGACCAACACCGATTCAATGGACAAATACATAAAGAAGCTGATCAAAATCAGTAGAAAGCTTGCATTTACTATGAAAATTTCAAATTGAGATATCTTGAAATTAAGATCAGCCAAGAATTTGATTTTTTGCGATTTTGAGTTCCTACGTACCATACGCTCCCCTCCTGTACACCGTTTTTGGGTACATTTTTGTGGCTTTTTTTTTTATTTTTGTTGCTTCAAGACCACTAAAGTAGACATTGCTTTTTCTTATGAGCAGGAAATTCAAATTTTGTTGTAACTAATGCTGAATTCAAACGTTAATATCTTGATTTAGAGTACATTTCGGTAATTTTCATTGCGGGAATCATATTTTATGTACAATTTTGAATAGGACACGTACATTTAAATGCTTAGATTAGTAATTTAGAGGTCGTTTGTTTCTAAAAGGGAATACGTTTATTGTAGGATAGAGCTCGTTTGTAAATTGAATGGATCACTGTTAGACAGGCGTAAATCAAATAACTCATGAGCTCTAGCGTCCTCAGTGATCAGCAAAAGCCAGGGGTCATGAGTTTTTGGACTTGCGCCCGTTTAACAGAAACCGATTCAATTAGAATGCCGACTTTTAGGGTCTCACCGAGGACTTACATCAAATCGAGGTAAAGGCTGAAATTAGTCTAGTGACAAATATGTAAAGAAAGTTTCGTTTTTTCGGGAAAATCCATTAGGAAAACACAGCCAACGGGTGAGGAGTTATTGCGAATAATTTCCGGTGCGCAGATCGTGCCGTCCGGAAAATGTTAACGGGGAAACGCGTATCATGAAACTCTCACCTAAACAAGCGTTGATGAAGTTTAACAGCGTCGACAAATTGCTCCCAATTTGAAAATTTGTCATGGCCGAGGGTTCCCAAACTAAGACCGCAAATGCAAAACGCTGTTTTTAATGAGTCCACGGTGGTGACTTGGAGCGCGGCTCCCACGTAAATAATATAGAAGTGAACCAAGTAAGAGGCAAACAAACTAAGGTAGATGAGTGACATAGTGACGTCATTCGAGACGAATCCGAGGAGAGAGAGTGGGTCCGGCATCTCCATTGGTAGACGAAGCTTTCTTGATGGAGAGGTGTTGAAGAATAGTGCGATTACGGGAGGCAGAAAGTAAAACACAACCAATATTTGTGAGCCTAATGTCAAGCAGATGAGTATTGACCGATGACGGGACTCCAATTCTGTGATGATAGTAGTCCGCAAAGAACCTAGAAGCGGGAACTGGGAGAGAAATAGCTGCTATTAGTCTTAATTAAATGCTCAATGGAATTTGAATTGCTTTTATACTTTGATGTAGAAATAAAAAGATATCTTATTTCACCGATTTTTTATAGTTTTCGGGATTTTTTTCATTTTTAGGACGTTAACTGGACATGTTTCTGTCTAACGGAACTAAGCGCCATAGGGGGATAAGGTAGAGGAGGGCTCGGATTGGCGGCGGAACCGGGCGTCAGGCTCATTCCGTCCTACACTCGCAATGCTTTTCCATGGCGCTTAGTTCCGTTTAACAGAACGCGCTATCCGGCATTCTGAATTCCTCAAAAGGAACTCAAATTGGCGCTTAGTTCCATTTGACAGAAATACGTTAAACTGTCCAATAGCTATAATTTAACGATAATTTATCTTCTAAACATGTATGTCTTACTCTTGTACCAGGAAAAAAAAATCGAGAATCGAACCGACTGTTTTTGAAATATTGTAGTTGCATAAATTGGACCGCTTATAGCAGAAAGGAACCAAGCCACATCAGCTATTGCCAAAAATTGGGCATTTTAATTTTTTACATTGAAAACGGTTGTGCGGATTTTTAAGCGAATTTCAATTAATTTTCCGCACATCGACGGTGAAACTACCAAACCACGTATTTCGGTTTGCGACGTCGCAGACTTCCTGTCATACTTTATTTTTTAAATGAAAAACTACTCAACATCCAGTCTTGAAAATTTCTGTGTTTTTTCCTCTTCGTGCGGAGAAAATTCCGTGAAAATTTCAAAGAATGATATTGATTTGGTCTACTTCAAAAAAATAAAATGTGAGCGTAGATTTTTAAACACCGCAAACGAGATACGTGGTTTGGTAGTTTCACCGTCGACATACGATGCAAATTCCTTAAAATTTTCAAAGGAATCCGCTCAAACGTTTTTTTATAAAATATAAAATTGTCCAGTTAAATTTGTCAATAGCTGATGTGGCTTGGTTCCTTTCTGCTAAACGCGGTCCAGTTATGATACAATGCTTATGGAAGAAAACAGGGTTGGCTGTCTGTGGCGTGGCGTGCTTTGCGATACATCGATAGATTTGCCCTTTAAACCTATGGAAAAGGATCGGTGAACAGAGTGTTCACAACTAGCACGTTAATAATCTATTCTTCACCACAGCTTCAATGGGGGAAGTATCGATAATTGATCATTAACGCCTGTTGGCTGTTCAATCTGCATCAAAACGAAATCAAAGACTTGCACGGCGTTAGGCAAATTTGAAGGTACTTCACTTACATGTCTAGGGCACAATACAAAATCCTACCTGTGCGTAAAGAAAAATTTCGTTGACTTCCTGGAGAGTTTCAACTAAATAGTCTACTTGTCGCCACCAAAGTACAAGATGTATATAATTTACGGGTATTACTATCCAGTGAATCTTTCGCGCAAGGGTGGTAGGTGTCGTGATGGAGTATTTGCCCTTGGATCCAATTATGAGGAGAACTGTCCCAGTTATCTGTGCGGCATGATGAAGCAGGATTACAAGCACCAAAGGCCATTTTGTCCGAGATTCGTGGATGAAGAACAGTTTCCCTATGATAAATTTAAAATTCCGTGCCGTTTTCAGGATTATTAATTCAGAAGTTGCCACCATCTTTGCGTCCAATATTAGTCATGGAAAAAATCGTTCTTTCCTCTGAAAAAATAGTAACGTAAGTATAAAAATCCCCAAGGAATTATTGTATCACTATTCACTCTTAGCGTGTTCAACAAAAAATGTTGAGCATTAACGAAGCGTTTAGCAAATCAATAATATACACCTACATAAAATCAAAAGTCTTGCCTTGCCGTCAAGCGGGAACTCTTGCGTGTGTGATTTTAATTTTTTCACGGTTGAAAAAGGGCATGTTAATCGTTAATTCTGAAACGACCCTATAATAGTCACTTTCTCTTTCATCTTGCACCCCGTCTTCTTGTGTATTTTTTGTATAAAGTCAAATATACATAATGATAATGATAAAATCTTTATTCGTCAAAAAGCTTCACAAACAGGCCAATTCCACTAATCTGTCTGCGTATTAATTGAATAGAATGTCAATACCTTATCAATTAAGAAGTATTTTAATCTTTTGGTAAAAATCTCGCCGATTGTTGTATTTTTAAAAATTAGGGCATTTAGTGAGAGGTTGAAAACCCTCGTTTCCTAGATTAGGAGTATGTAATGATAATTCTTCCTCTCCTCTGCTGGCTTTATGAGTAGTAAATTTTCGGATGAACCACGAGCCTCAAAACTTTTTCAGTAGTCTAAATCACGAAATCGAAGTTTCTCAATAATTTTACTTTTACTCCATCAAATGGAAAATGAATTATGATAATATTATATTCTCAGATTCACAACTGATAACACTGGTTAAAAAGAAATATCACCAGAATTGTCGCACTCTTACTTTATTGATACTTTAGAACAGATGAAAGATAAAAAAGAAGAAAACTACATTTAGGAAATAAGATTAGTGTACATATTATATATAACACACTGTATTTTAAATATATACATATTACGTAACAACTACAGAAGATATCAATAATTACTTTCAAAACAATAAACAAAAAAACGGCATCAAAACATCCACATACATCTTGAAGGGCTGGTTTTACTTAGTTTAGTTTTGATTATTAATCATTAACTCCACCTCACTCCGATCAGACTGCCTTCCAACAAAAAATGAAACCTCGCTTCAAAAAAATTTGATGTATTTCATCCTACCGAAGAAAGATTACTCCGATAATCTCCATTTCGCGTCTACAATATATGCGCATACATAAAAAAATTATAATTTTAAACTTTAACCTCTCATCACAACCGCCTGACTATATTTTGGCAAGAGGAAGAACTCGATGAAAAAGATTTTGATGAGTTGCAGTCGATCAAGTAAGGATTTTTCCTATGTCATTATTTCATATTTTCCGCGTGAGCCTCAGAGAGCATAAATATATATTTAAAAGAGGGCTCGCGTGGTAATTGAGACACGCCCCTCCGTCAAAGGAGCAACGATATGATTGTAACCGCCCACGGAAAAAGGGGGAAAACGTTATCAGGTGTTTTTTCTTCATTTTCCTAGCTTCAATATTACAGCCATCTCGGTGGCCGAATCTTTAATCAATCTACTCTTCCTCCGCCCCTTCCATGGCCCTTAAAAAAATAATAATCGTTGAACTTGAATGACTCTTTTCATTTATTGTCCTTATTATATTATTTGCTTTTCAAAGTTTTAATTAAAATTACTTTTCACGAACCAGTTTTTGACAGAGGAACTATACAAAAAAATCATTAAATGTAATGATTCACGTGAAATAGAATTATACATGATTTCAATGCAGTGTCGTAAAAACTTACGGCAATGAAGAGTCCAAAAATTACAGATTGTTGTCTTTGCCAATTTTTGATAGTGCTGACTCCAAAAATACGTAAAAACTATACATCAAGTTCGTGTACTGGAACAAAACAAAATTTGTAGAGTACCAAACCAAAATAGAAAAATGATTGTGTAATGAATTACCACTGATGATTTACTCGGTCCACTACTTTAATTTTAACAAATCACATGGCGAATTGAGACGTTTTCTAACCCAATAATTTAATGGGTTGAATCGCCTTCAATTTTTGGCGTAGGCCAAAAAACATACACCGTATGGCAATAGACATCCATTTGGAGTTTCGTTTCTTGTGTTATTCACAAATCTTGCCTATAACAGTGTTCCATAAGTTTTCAAATTCAACCGAAGACATACGTCAATATAATGAATATTATATTCACCTGAAGCAAACTTTCTGACGTCAACGACCAACAGTTGTAAATGCGGAATTTCACCAGTGTGTTTGATCTCATTATCATAAATGGAAATAAAGGAGCGAATTCGGATTTCCGCGCCACCCAGTGTTCATTGAAGTAAATGTTTAAGGATACGTCATCTGCCTACAAAACTCAGAATGAGAGGGGGAAAATTCAGTTTAAAGATACTCATTTTAGGGTGATTATGGTCCATAGGCAAGCAGGGATTTAAAAATCAATCTCAGGTTTTAAAAATTTACAGCAGCCACTGTAACCTAAAAAAACTTTTCGAATGGTAATAAATTATATATTATAAGATATGAATTGTAAATTCACTTTTTTCAGATCTTAGATCAAATCTGGAATTTTATATCAAGTCACGCTCCTTTCAAAGGGAATAAACCAGAATATCACCTTTAAAATATCTGAGAATAATTTAGAATGTATTAAGGAAAGTCACAGAAAATTTCAAAGAAAGCTGTTGGTTTGTTTGTTTGTTTGTTTTTTTTTTTTTTTTTTTTTTTTTTTTTTTCAAATAAAAAATTCATGAGCGGACTTTTTAAATATGTCCTATGTCACAATCGGAGGTACGCATTCTCGACATACTATCGATTTTTTTTAAAAATTTAAAGGGCCACAGCTAAAAAGGCCTGATTATTTCGTAAGATCGCGCGACATCTCTTAAAAACTGAAATCCTTCCTCAAGGACGGTTGCAAGGTTTTTTTCCAAAAAATTGTTTGTGATTTTTTTCATACTTAACGAACAATACCTACCAGAAATTCTCAATATTAAACAAGGATTTGTTAATGCTTCTTTAATTACAAAATTTATAGGTGAAATTTTGCAACATTGCAACGCAAGTAATCCTCCCTGGCTATAATTTATTTCTAATTTATAATCAGATTGAATTTTTATCTGTCGCAGGCAATTAGTAGAATCAGGCGTTTTATCAAATGTCTGGGCAGATAGTCAAATTTTGACGGTTTACAAAATGATGTAAAATGGCGAAGAGCTCTCGAGTTTCAATATTTTTGAGAAAATAACTCATCAAATCTACGAAATCATCTTGTTTCTTCTTTTTTAAATGCTTCTCATATATTTAAATTAAACATTTCAAAAAATCTTTATTTTAAGACAAATGAAAATGCACAGCTGTAAATTTCAAGATAAATGTTCGCTCTGGAGCTAAGAGACGCTTAAACTTAAAATACTATTGCAATATGCATATTTTTAGAGGGAATACTTTTTTACAGGAGCAATGAATTATTTTGTCTAAAATTAGGAAAAGAATCAGATTTCAATCTAAGTAAGAATATTTGACTATTTGCTTGGGCATCTGACAAAATGCCTAATTTTACTATTTGCCTACGACATAACCATCTCATGTACTCTGATTGTGGTTTTGTTGCTGCAAATTTGGGGGAGTATTGAGAGACAAATCAATTATTATTTCATCATTCAGCGAAAATCGGGACAGGAAGATTCTCTCACCATCACTGAAGTGGATCCCGGTAGAACGAAGAGGACCGTGATTACCCCTAAGGCACTCAGAGCACCTAACATCAGCTCAATGTTTTGCACATTGAAATCCTGGAGAGTTCAGAAACACGAAGGGTCATATTTGGACCAAATTTTGAAATAAGGAACCACTATTTCTGGCTCATTTTAGAAACAACATAGATGCGATAGGTTTCCCTCTACAGGCTTTGGTGGAATAGCCAGAAATAGTGATTCCTTATTGCAAAATGTAATCCATTTATAGTCGATGTTGGAACATATCTTTTCCTTAGGAAGCGGAAGCCCAATAATGGTTTAAATTGTGATTAAGGGAGGTTCAACGATATCCTTATCCTAGCATCATAAGAAGGAATATGTTTGCCAACTTCCGGTAAAATTCACCAGTATAACTTTGAAAATGGATCATTCAAGGGATTAAAATTATTTACCATCGCAAAAAATGCAAAATACGGACGAAAATACCCAAGTAACACGATTGCAATAGGTGGCAATTACATTAAAAAAGTATTGCAATTCGACTGAGTGTTGTGTATGTTGTCTAGCTCCTATTTGAAGAGGCCCCATTTATAGAAACTTCTTGCGATAAAATTGAAATAAGTTGCAATTTTTCATTTCATTGCACATTGCCTATCTTTCTGACACATGGAACTCATTTTGTTGATTGAAAAGAATCGGCAAAAATTGACCAAATGCTGTAAAAATATTGCAATTTAATGGTAAATTGTATTGAAATCAAAATGCAATTTAATTTCAATATTTTCGTAGCACTATGCTAATTTGGTATATGATGTGTGTTCAAAAAGTTACCAGACTTATACCGCCTTGGCTTTAAAAAAGGTCCGACCAAGCCCACTGTGGCTCACTTGGAAGGTTATACTCTCACTAATACAGAGGTTTTTATAAATCCGCGAGGAAAGAGCCTTTTCCAAAGGATGCGGTTTCATATTGCCGACGAATATTGAATGATACGACATCGTGCGGGAAAAGAGGGGTGGGGCAATGCTTTTTAGAATAATAATTTGAAATGATGCGCGTTTTAAAGGCAAGTAGAAATGTACCTACCTGAGCAAATGCCAATCCGGAAAGAAGATTAAAAATGACAGTCCCAGTTATGATCATTGCAAGTAATGGCTCAACAGCGTTCTTCATCTTTGCAGTCAATCTGAAAAATTCGGACGGACTCAACGAATGGTTGGTACCCAATCTACTAGGGAGCTATTCAAATATATTGTCATCATGCTTGATAGGACCGATGAACGATGTGTGATTCTGTTGGTAGTTATCGTCCACTTAAATCTGCCCTTCAATTTAAGCCCATGGGCAACAAATCCACACGAGAGGTTTTTTATATTGATCTTCTGCAAAGATTCTTATTCTGATTCTACGATTCTTCTGTGCACGAAACACAAGAAAATCGGAAACCAAAACTAAAAACAAACAGGATACCTGGGACATTTTGGCGGAGGATTCAACCCCCTCATCGACCAGGAAACAACCTCTCCATAGAAAAGGCGAGGAGTGAATGATCCATCATCGATATTTTACCATGGGAGCTATGGTGATGAATCGATTGTTCAGATGCTCGTTGCGTACGCCCTTTTTATCGATCCTTTTCCATAGATTTAAATGGCAGATTATTTTTTGATACGTCCCAAAGCACGCCACGCCACTTCTCTGTATAACCTTCCTTTCTTGTTATCGCAAATGGGGGTCTGAGGATTTTTTTATACATTTTTATACTTACATATTTTTGTTTCCTAGTCGAAGAGAGGGTTGAAAATACCCCGAAACGTCCCAGAAATTATGTTCATTTTTTGCATTGGTTCCCCATTTTCTTGCGTGTTTTGTGTTGTTAAATTCGAGCTATTTTTTGTGCCATTCTTATTTACTATAAAGTTTTCATGTGTATTCTCCCATAAACTATGCTAGAACCTACAGACAATTCGTAAACCTATTGGTAGGTATCATTCGCTCGAGTTTCTCCTTCAATTTTGCCGCATAGGTGACAAATATCAAGTGCGAGTGGATTTCTAAACACAAATTGATCCCCTCTTGAGTTTTAATTGAACCGATAAATGACGATGAGAACTTTAACCATCGTTCATCCAAGGTCCGCCTTAAATGTTGCTGTTAGGCAACAAAAGTATACCAGAGAGTATATGGATAGTTATGTATCCAAACAACGCATAATGGAACTCTTGCTTGCGTCAGGAATTATAGATTCAAATACTGATTCCTATGCAAAATTCCGCGAGATGCCACTGGTGTTCTCCGAGATCAACTCCGAAGCTCAAAAATAGCTCTCATAATGGAGAATTGGAGAGGTTATCTCACGTTACCCTGAGAATCCAACTCTATATCAAAACAAATTCTCTTTGCAAATATGAGGAGCAAATATATGAGCAAGGTTGCTGAGTTTTCAGTTTTGGAGTCCCTGAACAAGGTGACAACCATGTCAATATCGTAGCTCCTTATCTCTGCATTGAAATTATGTCTTGATTTAGTGGTGGACTCTCGGGGTAGCGCGGGATATTTCTTCCATTACCACCTCAACTTTGAGGGCTTTTTTGAGCTTTGGAGCTGATTTCAGAGAAAAACCGCCGTGTGTCTCGAGAAATTTTACGTAGGAATAAGTGCTTATCGCAAATTCCTAACACATGCTAGAGCTTCACTCACCTTCATTGCTTTACACGTTTCAATGAGCTATGATGAACTGCAAAATAAATCTATTAGCAAATGCCGTTCATCTAAGGTTAATTTGCCTTCAATTATGCTGCAAAGGCTATAATCTCACCTATACAAGCGTTGATGAAGCTTAACAGCGTCCACAAATTGCTCCCAATCGGCAGATTTGCCATGACCGAGGGTCTCCAAGCAAAGCCCGCATACGCGAAACGCTGTCTTCAGGGAATCAATAGTGACGATGAGAATCGCAGCTCCAGTGTATAGGGTATAGTTGTGGACTAAGTAAGAGGCAAAATAACTGAAGTAAATGAGTACCCCAATGACGTCATTCGAGCTGACTCCGAGGAGAGAGAGTGGGTCCAACATCTCCATTGGTAGACGAAGCGTTCGTGATGATGAGGGGTTGAAAAATAGTGCGATTACGGGAGGTAGAAAGTATGACAAAACCAACAGTTGTGAGACTGCCTTCATGTAGAGGATGATTGACCGATGTCGGGACTCCAATTCTGCAGTGATAGTAGCGCGCAAAGAACCTAGGAGCGGGAACTGGAAAAGGACTATATGCACGCTAATAGTCTTTACGTCGCACGGGTATTGAAATTCGTGTTCTATCCTCAATTTTCGTACGATGAAAACCATATTCGGTTGCAACTCTTCCGTTGGACCAGATTCAATTTTTGGGCCAGAAAATTGAGACATTTGCTCGGACAAAGAAATATGGACGGATTCAATCAGCCTAATGAATTATGGGCTAACTTTAATATCGGACAAAAATGTGTGGACAAATCATCCTATAATCATTAAGTCTGCCAAACTCAGGTCTCTAGATTGTCGAATTAAAATGAAAATTCACTCCTTGTATTGTTTGTGAAAAAAAAACCAACGACTAATAGCACCTTTTTTTGATACTATGAAGAGTACCGGAGCGTTATTTCGGAGTTTATCTCATGCACTTTTTCAAAATGGCCAAATCGTCATCGCGACTTATTTTATCTAGAATACAATTCACGTAAATTTCTTGTAAGTGCGCCCTAAACATTCTTAATTTCATATACAAGGTTCCGATTTCGTAACGATTGACAATTCTCTTGATGGATTTGGGGTTTTTAACGTCGCACGTTCATGATTATCTGCAGAAGTCAGCTCGATGACTCAACCCCCAACCTGGAGGACCAGCACTTGATTTCGGGGTGCTCTCGTCTAGACAGGCATTTTCTTCAGCTAGAACTCTGCCTACCTGTTTGGCCTACGGTGTGTGTCTAATTCTGAAAAACCTAATTTTTGGTCCTAATTTATTATTAATTATTATGTACTCAAAATAATGAAAGAAATAGCGTTGGCTGTACAGTTTACATAGAAATTAATAATAAATATCTTGCAAGTCTGTCTAATGTAACAAAAGAGGAAAAGATAAAAAGTAATACCTTGGCGCGAAGCAAAATTTCGTTGACCTCTTGGAGGGTTTCCTCTAAATAGTCCATCTGACGCCACCAAAGCACATTTAATAAGTAACTTAGGGGTGCTATCAGGCCGTGCATTTTCCGCGCAAGGGTGGCAGGTGCCATAATGGAATGCGTGCTCGCCTTGGATCCAATCATAAATAGAATAGCCCCAGTTATTTGCAGGACATGGTGGAAAAGGATTAAAAGCATCAATGGCCATTTTATTCGAGGTTTCTTGCTAAAGAACAGGTTCTCTATGATAAGTCTGTAATTCCGTGCCGTTCTCAGAATTAGTAACTCATGAGTAGCCATCACTATTGCGTCCCATCCGATATGATTTACTCCTCTGAAAAAATAGTAACCTAAGTTTAAAAATTGACGCTGGATGATCGCGTTGTTCACCATGCCCGAAAGATATGCCATACTCTATAGCAGCTAATTCCTGAAAGCAATGAGCAAATTTGGAATATTGGAAGAACATTTTGCAAGTTGGTAGGCTTTATAAAAAATTAACTGATTGAAGGTTACATTGACGTGTATCCTACGAAACTAATAGAGTCCGTAAGTTTTATTTCAAATATTATCAAACATTCTTTTAATCCACCTCAAGACCGTCAAGACTGCGTTTCAGCGAGAAATTAATCCACGCAATTTAGGCGATTTTGAAAAGTTGCACCCTTTTACAGAGTATACTTATACATAAAAAATGTTGTTTTAAACTCTCCCTCACAACTGTCACTCTACATTCCAGCAAAACATAAAAGTACGAGGCAGGATGTTAGAAATGTGTACAGTCCAAAATATTACGATAGAAAGATCTTTCTCTCTGACAACAGTTACAAAGTAAGTAAACAAAGGAATTTTAAAACTTATACTTTGCCTTGTCCCCGTTGAACTTGGTTAGGTTTTAAATAATAACTTTTCTTAATTCTAATCATGGAACATGGCAGTTCTTGGAACCAGCGCTCTATAGCTACAGGTTTCTCCTTTTGTACGCTTAATTCTTTCGAAAGATTCAAACGGGAAGTGCCAAGCAAAAATATGATGTTTACAAATCTATCAAGAGAATCCAGCAAGGCCGTTCGATGGTTGGATGTCACTGGTATCATGGAATACTGCAGATAAAGGGTATGATTGTAAAGGCGCGAACGAAAGATGAGAGGTTATTCACGATTACGAAAGGGTTCAAATTAAATTTTAATAATAGGGATTACACAGCCAATTGCAGACGGCTGTATAATTTGTGATAGTGACGTCTATGTGATATCGACGGTGTAAATCGGCAATCATATAACTCGGTTTGCGACGTCACAGACTTCCTGTCATAGTTTATTTTTTAAACGGAAAACTACTCACCGGCAATTTTCTAAAATTGTCATGATTTCTCTCTTCTGTGCGAAGAAAAGTCTTCAAAAACTTCAAGGACTGATGTCGATTTTTTCTCGATTCTTGCCCTCCAGGGTAATATCAACTTACGCCCCTTTAACCAGCCAAGGGTCTATACCCTCAGATGAGAGCCAGTCCGACCCTGCCCGGAACTTTCGGCCTCTGAGTCCGGTGCGCGGACGGTATGTCTATCTAGCCCCTCAGTACGGCTTTCATGGCTGGAGTTTTTTTTCAGTGTTTGTTTTTTTTCGTTTTTTTTCGTTTTTTTTCTCATTGTGAAATGCTCATCTTTGGCCAAAGTTGGAAACCACGCACCTTCATTGCAATGTTTCATTTGCGCCCCTATTTTATTTTTTCGAAGGAAAGCGAGCCAACTATGTAGCTTAATACTCATGCAGAATATGCTGGTAGCATGGAGGAAAAATCAAGAGAGTTCTCAAGAAATTACGTTCTCCCTCCCGCCCCCCTCCCCCAAAAAAAAACTGGGTCCTCGTCAACGGAGATACGTCGTTTCGTACTTTGTCCATCGTCATTTTTCAAATTTAAGGAATTCATTTCATTGATCGTGTAAAATTGGCTTTCATAGACCACATCAATAGGACAATTATATATTCTGGCTCTTCTGGAAAAACACTTATGTACATAGGGAAACTAACAAACATCCGTCGTTTTTAAACCGGGCTAGAATTTATAGTTCCAAATCGCAAAATGTAGTCCAATAACCAAAGTGCGAAACCGCATATCTCCGTTTGCGACGTGGCAGACTTCCTATCATATTTTTTTTATTTTTTTTTTCGGAAAACTAGTCAACGCTATTTCGTGAAAACTTCCTCGAGTTTTCGTCTTCGTTTGCCAAATACTATTGATTGATTTCAAGTCATAGAGTTGCCTTGTTTCTCTTCGAAAAAAATGAAGTAAGGGCCAAAATGTTGAAATATCCCAATGGAGATACGCGTTTTCGCATTCAGGTCATCGATTTGATGTGTGAATATTGCAATTTCATCGTAAAAAATTGAATTGTGACTGTATTTAAATACACATTCTTTTGAATTTTTTTTGTTGCAATATGCCTATCGGGTCGCTTTAAAAGGGCAAGGAAGGCTAGTGTTGGAGACTGTTTTCAAATGGACCGGGTTAAACGGAAAAGAACCGAGTCACATCAGCGATTACCAAATTTAATTGAGCAATTCAATTTTTCACTTGTAAATGGTTGTGCGAATTTTTGTGCAAAGTTCAGTGAATTTCCTGCATAGTAGGTACGAAGCAAATTCCTCAACAGTTTCAAAGGAATCCGTACAACCGCTCTCTTGTAAATAATTAAAATGCCCGGTAAAATTTGGCAATAGCTGATGTGGTTTGATTCCTTTCTGCTAAACGCAGTACAGTTAATGTTGGAAACTGTGTAAAAATATGATAAGCTAACATGAAAACTTACGGTTGCGTTGGTTGTTCTGAAATCAGGTCTCGTTCCAGAGTGTTTCCCCAGAGAGGAATTGCCGAACAAGGTTTGGCGCAAAAAGTCTAAATCAACTACGCTGCCAAAATTGGATTGGGTAGTATCCGATTTTTTTCGGATAAAACCTGTTTATCGTTGCTTACAGATATAACGATTGGTTTCTCGCCTGCTTTGGTCTGGTAGACCTCATCAGGTGCCATCGCGACATTAAGGGGCTCCAGGTTAAGGTCATTTTTCTGGGCACCTGAAATCAGCACCATTTCAGGATTCCCTAGCTCTTTCGAGCACTGCTGTTTTAAGTCTGTAAGAGGAACAACATCAAAATTCACCGTAGCTGTTCCCAAATCTCTAGTTGTGTGGTAAAATTTCAAATCTGACGAATATTAGTGGGACCGCGCCAAGCAGAAAGGAGCCAAATTACATCAGCTATATCCAAATTTAATTTGGCTGTTCATTTTTTGACATGGGAACAGTTGTCCCAAACATGGAACAGATAGTTTGTCGCATCTAAGTGTTACTGGGTTTTTTCCCCCGTTATGTTTGCTTCTTTAAGCCTACGCACCCCTATTGATCATTGTGTGTCACTTTTCTGTTGCAGGTAAGAAAAATATAAACTCTTCACATCTCACTCTCCATAAATTCAGGCGAAATTTCGGTGAGTCACATCATTTGAAAAAAAGTTGTTCCATATACTCTGAGAAACAACATTTGGTGACATATCGACGATGGAACTTCCAAACCACGTATCTCGGTTTGCAACGTTGCAGACTTCTTGCCTTCTTATTTTCTTTCAAATGAAATCCTATTCAACATCAATTCAACCTAGAGTTTGCTATAGCCATATTTTTTGCCTCCTAGGAGTTCTCTTAGTATTATTTTTTTTTGCATGCCCGGGTTTTTCCTCCCACGCATTGCTGTGCTAGCTGGAGGGTTATTTTTGATAGCCCGGAGATCGATTCACGACACATACCCCGTTGCCTGAAGTCAATGATTCGCCTTCAAATGGCCAGGTATGCAAAATGACTGCCGTGAAGCACGAATAGTGGTATCAGAATTTTGCATTAAGTTTATGGAAAGATTTGAAGGCGCTCTTCTGTATCCATTGTGAGTGAACTTTACAATGATGTTGACCAAAAATTTCATTATTTTGGGTCTTAAATCGAGCCGCATGATCGGAAATTGCCGAGGAATATTATCTTGAAAAAATATCAAGATTGTTTTCGGTCTCTACGTTCTATTTAAAAGAAGAGAGCGCCTGGAGGCGGCTGGATCAGATTGTATATTTTAAGTCCCTTGGTTCGGTCATCGTATTCTGAAGCGAAACTGAAAGAGTCGCCGTTTACAAGATCGCAACTTACTCAAAAGAGGTTTTGAATTTAAAAAGTTTCGCACGGATAAAATGGGCTTTCGTTGATTAACTGTGAATAATCAAAATTGCGAAGAAAAGGTACTTTGTCCACTGGTCCATTAGAGAAGCGCAAAGCATGGATGGATGGAGCATCGATAACCAACTAAATCTTAACTAATGAGGAATTTTAAGTGTGAAATCCATTTTTCAGTCTTTAAATGATCCAAATCCACCAACAAGTTTAAAACACTAATTACAAAAATGTAGAACTCCTTAAGAAGTGGCGATTCTTAGTGCCAAAAACTCGGCATTGCTGCCGTATTTTCTAACAGTTCGAGAAATTATTGAGACTGCTGATTGAGTTTGTAAAAACATCTTATTCTTGCTATCCTCAAGAATCATTACCCTTCTACCGACAATAAAGAGGAATGTAGGCAGTTTTTTTACTCTCCTGGAAAATCGTGTTTTCCAAGATTCGCACTCTTGCACTTTCACCATCGATAAAGTGCTTTAGTATTGTTTAATTAACATTTGCACAGGCAGTGATTGTGATTAATCATTCAGTATTTTTCTTCTTTTAATTTCTTCATAAACATTCTGAAGTATAAATGTATAATGCAGGCAATCAGCAATCGCCGTAAAATTGCAATCTATTCGTGTTTAATCGACAAATTAAATCGTTTTAAAGTGAAAAAACGAGATTGGAAGTAGGGATTATTATGCTTTGAATTCAAACATACATTAGCCCCTTCTTCTTGGATACATGATGCTAGCTAGCACACTCGCGAGTTCGTGAAATGTCATCAATAATCGGAGTTAGGTTCGGTTAAGCAACTAAACTAACACCTTGGCAAACCGGAGAGTATCGCTGGATTTGAAGGCGTAGAAAAATGTTTCTGTATCTATGTTATCGTATTTACAATTTGACGAATTGACAAGTACGGAGCTTGCAAATTGCCGGCGATTGCTGACTCTATGCGACTTATACACTGATAAAGATTTCTGAGATGTTTATTTCCATCTTTAAGTTTCCATTTCTTTTTCACTCTTTTAATCAGAATGTATGTTCCTTCTTTGTTTCTGGTGCATCCCTAGG